TGATACATAGAGTGCATACTTCTTTGCTCTAAAGTTTTTCTCTAATAAAATGCTTGCCCACTTCAATATGTTTTGTTCTATCATGGAGGACTGGGTTAGCAGCAATGTTGGTAGCAACTTTATTATCATAATAGAGTAACATGGGGTTGTTAATTGCAAAACCCAGTTCACCTAACATGTTTTTCATCCACATGATTGTATCAACTCCATGAGACACAACTCTGTATTTTGCTTCAGCACTAGACCTAGCCACCACACTTTGCTTCTTACTTCTCCAAGTGATTAAGTTTCCTCCTACAAAGGTACAATACCCACTGGTAGATTTTCTGTCATCAATTGCTCTTGCCCAATCAGCATTGGTATACACTTCAACCATCAAATGCCTCTGTTTCTGGAATATCAAACCAGGTTCTGTGAACTTCTTGAGGTGTTTAAGGATCATTTCTGTAACTTCAAAGTTAGTTGTCTTAGGATTAAGTATGAATTGACTAAGGACACCCACTACAAGTCTCTAAAACTCCTTCACATCTTTCAAAACCTCCCTTGATTATCTCCCGACTGATGGTTAGGTTTAATGGTGAATCAATTGGCTTCACCCTTAGCCTATATCCTCTAATAGATCTAATATATATTTCATTTGGGAGATAAAGATGCCCTTTTGAGAACGAGTGACTTCAATCTCAAGGAAATAATGTAAGGGTCCTAAATCTTTCACCTCAAATTGAGTGGCTAAGAATTTTTTTAGCTTATGTATTTCAGTCTTTTAGTCTCTTGTGACCACTATGTCATCAACATACACAATTAAAGCTACAATGTTTCCTTCACCTTCTTCACAAACAAAGTATGACCTGACTAGCATTGTTTGAAACCCATCTAGTGTACGGTTATGTGAAACTTATTAATTAGGTATGAGATGACTGTTTTAATCCATATAATGATTTTTTTTTAACATTCACACCTTCTGCTCATTGCCTTTGACACAAAAACCTAGAGGTTGAGCCATCTATACCTCCTCCTCTAGGTCACCATTCAAGAATGCATTTTTAATGTCCAACTGGTGAAATTCCCAGTCAAGATTAACTGCCAGTGAATGGAGGATTCTGATAGAATTCATCTTGGCTACTAGACCAAAGGTCTTTGCATAGTTTACTTCATATACCTATGTAAACCCTTTTGCCACCAATCGAGTTTTGTACCTTTCTACCATACCATCAGTCCTATGCTTCATTATGAACATCCACTTGCATCCCATTGGTTCTTTCCCTTCAGGAAAATTCATCAATTCGTAGGTGTTATTTTGTGCAAGGCATTAATTTTTTCCTTCATTGCATTTGTCCATTCAAGTTTGGATAAGGCTTATGTCGCATTCTTAGGAATAGAAACAATGTCAATGGAGGAATGAAACACACGATTTGAATGTGAGATATAATCATAAGACACAAAGTGAGAGGTATGATGATTAGTAGCATAGAATCTAACATCCTTTTTCTTAACAATATGAAAATTAAGATCATCAATAACAGGGGGATCAATATCAAGAGGTTCATGCATATCAATGGGAACAAGTGTACCTAGATGATGATGAGGATCTACCTATGGAGAGTCTGATGATGATGGTTGCATAGTTTCAAGTTCCATGGCTCTTGAACTTTACTGGCTCTTATGACAATGAAGAAAGATATGGGATGGAGGAGGGCTACGAAGAGGAGGTAATTTACCTATGTGTGCTTCTCCTCAACCCTACTCTCCCCCTAAGGAGAAATTGAGAAAAAATGTTGACTCTCAAAGAAGGAAACATCCATGTAGACATAGTACTTGCATGAAGTAGGATCATAGCATTAGTAGCCCTTTTAAGATAAATGGTAGCCAAGAAAAATACAAGAAATGACACGAGGATTGAACTTACCACCAATAGGGGACAAGCCATGAACAAAACAACGACACCCAAAGACATGCATTGGAATAGGAGATAAAGGAGCCATAGGAAATAACAATTGATGTAGGGCCTTATACTTTAGTAACTGAGATGGCATACTGTTGATGATATATGCAACACACATAATGACATCCATCAAAAAACATTTCAGAACATTCATATAGAGTAATAACCCACGAGCCACTTTGAGAAGATGACGATTTTTTCTTTCAGTGACAGTTTTGATAGGTCTTTTAGCATAAGAGCTCCAATGAAGAAATCCACGCAAAGCAAAAATTTCCGTGAGATCACTATGGAAATACTCATTTGCATTGTATAGCTGGAAAATATAAATCTCATATTGGAATTTAGAAAAATCATGTGTTGAAAATCTTTCACAATCTTTGGCATTTCATCTTTAGATCACAAAAGAACATCAAATGAAAATAGACAAATATGAAATACTTATATCCAATCTCAAAAGATAGAGTAACAAGGCCCCAAACATCAAAACAAACAAATACGAAATGAAAATTCAGATATTTTATTTCTTAAAGGAAAAGAATTTCTATAATGTTTGTTCAATTGACATGTCTGACACTATAACTCACTAACTAATAAAGACTTAAATAACTCTGGAAACATAAGTTTTAATGACTCAAAAGAAAGATGACTAAGATGACTATGCTATAAGTAGGTATGAATCTCACTAAATGAATTTAAGGACTCTATAACCACAAGACAGGCTTTATCCTAAAACACACACGAAGAAGGAAAGAAAGTAACTGAACAATTCAATGAGTGAGTAATACTGCTAACAGAAAGTAAATTGATAAGTAATTTAAGAACATGCAACACATTAGAGAGGATAAGACCGAAAGGAAGGGATATGGTTTGTTGACCAACTATCATGGAGAATGATCCATTAGCCAATCTCACCTTATCTCTCCCAAAGAGGAGGTTATATGCATGAAATAAAGTTGACTTACTAATCATGTAGTTTGAGACTCCAAAGTCAATTATCCAGAGGGAATCAGATGTATGAGATAAGAGATGGAAAGTAGTGGCAGTGTTACTTGATGTAGACGCAAAGGAGGTCAAAGGAGTAGGACTAGAATCCATCTGGTGAAATGTCCTACCATATAACTCCAGATGGTCATGAAAAGAGTTGATAATCTCTTCCTTGGGGTCAGAACCAGAGTGTCGCTCCTAAGATACCATGGAACTAATTTCTTGAGATGCCACATTTGTTGAATTATATTTCTTCTGATTCTATTGGGTTAGCTTTTTGCTCAATTCTTGAGCCCATTTAGGCTTGCCATGGAGTTCCCAACATGTGTCTCTAGTGTGTTTGCTCTTCTAATAGTGAGTGCACCAAAGCTTGTCCTTGTCGTCCACTCTCTTTTGTGAATCACCCTTCTTAGAAGAGCCTTTGAATTTGTACTTCTTCAAATCGACTCCCCCTCTACACAATTCATCATATTTTTTCTACTTTCTTTAGATTGAACTAAGACATAAACTTCTTGAACTGAGGGTAAGTCTTTCCCAAGATTTATACCCTAACAGACTCATATGTAAGATTCAACCCCAAAAGAAAAGCAAATATTCGTTGTTGGGAGGCAAGTGATTTGTTGGCTTTTGCATCTTTATTACACTTCCAATTCACATTTTGATAATGATCTAGTTCCTTCCGTATTGATGTCAGATTTAAGTAGTACATTGAGAGATTTCTCTCCCCCGCTTGAAAGTGGAGGATTGAACTTGCAGTTGGTATATCTTTGCATAGTGCCTTTTCTCCGAATAGGCAAATTTCACTTGCTCACATATTTCACAAGCTGTTTCAGCTCATATAAATGTCTTTCTTACTTGTGGCAGCATGGAAACCAAGAGCCATGACATCACCATACCATTTTCTTGGTTCCACCTGTTTTGTTCAACATTTCCAATATTTGGTTCATTTACTTTACCAATAATATGCCCTATTTCCCCCTAGCAATAATGTAGAGTTTAATTCCCCTAGATCATTCAAGGTAATTTAATCCATTAAAGGGAATTACAACAATGGGGAAACTCATATCTATCCCCTACTCATCCCATTTTGACCTTTTGAAACCCTAGAAGTTATAGAATTCTCAACATGGTTAAAAACACTATTCAATTTCAACACACCAAAGAAGAAATCCACATGCACACACTTCGATTTGGACACAATCTAAACATACCAGTACCGATTCTCCATATATATATATATATATATGTATGTTTAAATTGATTTCAGACTAGAATTAACAGTTCCAACCTACCAATCTTCCAGATTACCTAAGCACATTAACTACCAGGAGAGATCCTCAAAACATTGTAATTACACCAAAGCTGGGAAATAACAGGTCATTTGTGACCTTCAGATATCCCTTTCTCAGGTACAAGATCATACAATCCAAGAAAAGATGTCTAAACCTCATAATATTTTCAGACAACATCCAACAGACTTGCTTCATAAAGTTTTCTCTTGGTACACAACCAAAATAAGAGAAAAAGAAAAAAGAAAACTTGTACCAGTCTTAGGTCAGCTTTTCTGATCTTAGTCTACAAAAGATGGCAAGAATAAAGTGGAAAAACCTTGTTCGATATGCTCTCAAACGCAATAGAATCGCTTTGATACCATCTTAACAGAGAAAGAACAATAGGAAAACAAGAAGGGAAGAGACAGAGAAGAGAGAAGGGAGAAAAGAAGAAAGATGTTCGACAAATAGAACCAAGTTTGGCGGCGCCAGATTATATTATTGTATATAAGGCGACCATAATTAAAAGGGAAAAGACCCTTGTGCTCCTATTGTAGTTAAAGTACAAGAACAACAATGACAAAAAAAGCTATTTTAAACAAGCCAAATAGACCCTAACTAAACAGAATAAAAACATAAATGTAAAGTAAAATATTCCAACAGCCATATTAACGTGGGATCTGTGAGAGTTTTCTGAACATTTCTATTTCTAAGCGACCGTGTTCATGCATATCACAATACCAATATTTTGAATCTTATTTGCAACCAAATCTTAATAAGTAGAGGGGAGACAAGGTATAGGAACTATTGTTGTATATATTAACATTTTTCGTAAGTTGCATGTCGTCAAGTGTCATAAATATTGTACAAACAACTTCAACCTTCTATCTGTAACTGTAATGGGACCTGAACCAATTCGATCCATGTACCCGATCGAATGGAAAATTAATGAAGGGGAGAATAAAAATGAGGATGCTGGCTACAAAACCCTAACAAAAATAAAGATAAATAAGCCATGGTTATGAAGCAGATATCACAGTTTGCACACCTATAGATGGATACTTCTTATGTAACTTCCCTCTCAACTGCTTAATCTTTGCTTCCACTCTTGCTGTGAACCCAATCTTTGTACTCTGCCTTGCTTTTGAGCGTTCCCTGGACCACATGTGTACATCTTCCACATCTTTCTTATAGTACTTAATCTCCTGGATAACATGATGGTCCATTGGATTGAAACATCTTTGGAATGATAAGTATCCCAAATAGGGAAGAATACAAGCAGCCGTTACTAGCAGAGTGATAGCCCAGTAAATGGGTGCCGGGGCTAGAACTTCCACAAGGATTTGGTAAGCATTCCCTGAAATAGAGAACATTCCATAAAGGTAGAGGAGCAGATACCACATGAAGATGCTGCCCCAAACGAGCAGGTGCTGGATCCACGTAAAATGGCTCATCATCAGTGCAATCTGGCAATTCACAACCCAGATGACGCAAGTGAACATGGTGGTTCCGACAACAGCCATGTCCGAGGTATGGCCCCCGGAAAAGAATGCTTGGTTATAAAAGATGCTTATGATGGGGAAGAAGATAATGAGGGATGAATAGAAACCATTTGCCATCCATCCAAATATCCTATACCAGTCAAAGAACAAGTTTCTTGGTCCTTGCTGATAGAGTGCTGGAAACTGCAAAAGGCAAGTGCATGGGTATTAGCACAAACGAATTAATTGTAGATTAGTTAGTCACCATTAATTTAATGTAGTGCTACTGCGCTACTGGGAACTGGGAACCAACCTGTAAGCAGACATCAGAAGAAACATCTTGTTCAAACACGCCAAGTGAAATGACGGGCAATGAAGTGAGGATGACATTGAACAGTAGCATATACCAGTCATCATAAACTGACTGCCCTGAAAAGCCAGTGTATGCCTCGAAATAGAAAAGGGTCAAGCCAAATAATATATTCTTGTAGAAGAAATAACAGATCTGAATGAAATCCAATCCAAATAAAAAAAATGAGTTAGCTATAGCCTGGCATTTTGGACTTGTATATAATGTGTATGTCTATGTCAAACAGAATAATATATAAAATTACAACACCGGCCAACATATATAGCTAGCCACTTGTACACTCTTACCATCTGTGAGATCCTCTTGTAGCACCAATGCCCATGGACAACCAGAAGTCTCTGCAAAAACCGAAACTGTGCAATGGAGAAGTCACTAGCCATAACAGCCTGAAAAAAGCTAAACACTTGTGAACTTGGATGTAACATACAATACCAATGCATGCATTAGATTGATGGATGCACTTCTATTTCCATCATACGACCCAATTCCTCACAAATAAAATAACTAACACTACACTGATGCAGTACCAGGACCCTCCATTTTACTCCCAAACTGTAAGTTTCCAAACAAGATAACATGTGTATATATGGGTATTTGTTGGATCAGGCCACTAAACCAATTCCTCCTTCCCTTATTACCCTTGTTTCCATGATATGGTGGGGATCAGGTCGGATGGGGACTTCACTGTTCACTCCCCATCCTTGTCCCAATCCCTGCCAGGGCAGTCTCCATCCCTGACTCAATCAGGTTGAGGAGGCTGGGTACCCAACAGGGAATGGGGAAACCATCCCTATCTTGCATAGGCTAGAGGTGGTGACTCCACCTATCCTACTTAACTATGCATATTACAATTGAGCCCAGAAAAGCTGTTCCCTGTACAACCCTTGTTTTGCTAACTTGCCAGAAAGAGATTTGGCTGACCTTTTGGACCCACTTAACTGTTGCCTCATTCATTAGATACCACAATAATGGGAATGCATATAAATTTCAAAATTCAAATATAGGTTGATTGCTCAATTAGAAGTATATATCACTATACAATGTACCCAATTGACTGATCCATTCTAACTGAGTCCTCACATCTTAAGATGCTAGTCAGGTAGATCTGATTTCAAACGTTATATTGCAAGAGAAAAGCAGCTATATCCTTTTTTGATTGGTGAGTAGGGGTTTCTGAGGCCGAGTCAGTGTGGTAATGAACTTAATGATTATCATCAGCCACCAACATTTTGAATACGATCTCAAATACAAAACTGATTAAAAATGATCAAAATATGATTTAAAAGGGAAAAATGGCAGGGAAAATGAAACAATAACCATTAAACCACAACAGACTGAAAGAATCAGTTTGAGAGGCATAACAAAACTATCAGTTCTAATATATTTCATAAGCATAGAAAATAACTTTCTGCAAATACATATTCTGCACCATCATAAATGTCTTTAGAGATTTAAATTCAAGCTTCTTTAGTTATAGAAAATATTACCAACCTGCATCCCTTCCACGCCACTGATACCAACACCAATATCTGCTTCCTGAATCATACCAACATCATTTGCACCATCACCAATTGCTAAAGTGGTTTTTCTAGTTCCCACTTTTACCAATCTTGTCACCTAGGGGTAAAAAAGAAATGTTCCCAATGGAAAGACAGGTTGGAATCTACAACTAGTCGAAAATTACATAATAAAAGGGGGCGGAGGTGCTTGGTTACAAATTTATATAACACAAAAGAAAAAATTATACCAGTGCCTTCTGCTTTGGAGAAACCCGACAGCATATGACAGATGCACAATCAACTGCTAAGCTCAAAAATTGATGCTTTATATCATCCTCTAAAGCATATGCTAGAGTTTTCCCATCAATAACTAAAGCAAAAGCTGCATCAGGGTCTTTTTCCATTTTGATCATCTCAGAACCATTGGTTATTTGCATCATAATGTCTTCCTTCGCAGCCTGATCAGATTTCAAATACATTAATAAAACCTAACATGAAATCAGTTTCCTGCATTGTTTATTCATCCACATTTCATCTTCTTAGCTACATGTATCTGTGTCTTGATTTTAAATATATTCAGAACAGTCACAAGACACCAAAACACTAAACAAGCCCATACCTTGTTGGCATCTTGTGCTACTGACCCGGTGTTCATTGTTATGCAGATCTGTTTCATGCCTTGCCGAAGAAGACTGCATGCATAGCTGCATTGCATCAATAGAAATTTCATTTTAGTGATCCAATGCAGTATCTTACGACATGAAGGGCTAGCCAAGAAGTTATGCCTTTCACAAGATAGTTATAATTAAAGAGAATACTTATGCATTGAAAGAGGCAAACCCTATGTTGATTGCAGTTTCCATCTTGTCTCCTGTCAGTACCCATATCTTAAGACCAGCTTGGGCTAACTTATCTATGCACTCGGGAACCTATTGAGAAAAGAAGAAGACTAAGAATTCAAAGGAATAAAAAGAAGAGTAAGTTGAGTACTATTTTTGCAACTTGGGTTGGGTAGGAAGTGAACATAACTTGAGAAGCCCAATTGTAGACCACGTAATATAGGGTTTTCCATGAAGATCAAGACAGGATGAATTGTTATAGAAAATACAACCAAACCCATAAAAATTGGATTGAATTGTTTGAAGCCTCAGCTGACTTGATGTAACAAAACCTGAGAGAATCATTCTTTCCTGCATATTTCTATACTTGGAAGCACAAATTAGGATAAATAAACAAGAACATGAAGAGTTGTGTTGAGGAAAAGAGGTTGCAAGTTCAGTCCCTGCTACTGCTAACCTCTCTTTATTCTTATTATTTTTTTTTTCGGGAGAAATTAACCTCTATTTAAAATTCTGCATGCATTATATGATATAATAAACCCAACCCAACCCAAGTCAAGTAGGATTTAAGTTGAACAGTTCATGGTAATCTTCAGGTCAGATTAGATTAAGACTGAATGTTCAGTACACATGGACTTGCTACTGTTAGCTCCACCTAACCCAAACCTGCCCAAGTTGCACTCATTATAGACTCCAAAAGAGAAAGACAAGCTTACCCCCTTTTGTAGTTTGTCCTCCACAGCAGTTGCACCTACAAGAATTAAATCTTTTTCCATCATATCTGATACCTGTTCAAGCATCACCTCTCTATCACCACCTACATTAGTCTTTGCCTTGAGAAATTCACTGTTCCAGTTAGAATACTCAGCCACTTCTAGCTTTCTATATCCAAGTGCCAAAGTCCGCAAACCTGCTTCTCCATATTCACTCAGATGCCTACTTGTCTCCTCCAAATATGTTCTTCCATTTTTGGCTAACCGGTCAAAAATTATGCTGCATGATCCAAGCAAGAAAACATACAGTGAGTGTTAATTTGAAGATGAAATTAATGTAGCTTTAGGAGAACACAACCAAAATGGATCGCTTGACCTATTAGAAAACTTGAAGATCTCTTGGGGAAAACACATTCTACAAACAAAAAAATAGCATATAAATCAGACCTGTCTGCACCTTTGCACAGAAGAAGAATCTCTCCATTTTCATCCTGAACAATAACAGACATCCGCTTCCGTTTGCTACTAAACTCCAACAGATTTAGAATTTTGAACTCCCTGAAAATGTCCCAACGAATAGGTGGATTAGATGCCATGAATCAAAACAATGAAGAACTCGAATTGGAGACCCTAAAATATGTTTGTATTCTGACCTTTCAATTGGGTGCTCAGAAGAAGGATATCTTTCTCGAATGAAGACACTTGTCTGAGTCCGTTTACAGAATTCAAAACCAAACTCTCTAGCTGCAACAAGAAAGGCTCCCTCATCTGGTGATTCAGCCTCATAGTTGAAACTGCCAGTTTCCTCATTTAGCTCAGGAATTGCTGTGTGGCAAAGTGCCAGTATCCGAAAGAACAACAATATGGTGTCTGAATTGGGTTCTTTCAACCAATTTCCATCCATGAGTCGTTTGTCCTCAAAGCCGAATCCCTTTATGATGGGTTTCTGTTCCTTTTCATTCTCAGAAGTAATAACAGTCTGCAGTTCAATTCCAGAGCCTGAAACATCACTTACGCTGTTCTCCCAAGAATCATGATCATTGTTATTGTGCATGGAACCAGAAATTTCTGCATCCTCTTCAAAAGCCATCTGCTTAGCTGCAGCTATTTCAACTTCACTAGAACCCACACCATAGGCAACACCAGCAATGGAACACTTGAGGAAGTCCATCTGATTGCATGTCAAAGTGCCCGTCTTATCAGAAAGAATAGTGTCAACCTGGCCGAGCTCCTCATTCAGATTTGACGTACGAGCTTCAGCAGGATTGCTCGTCTCCTCATCATACATGTTTATGTCTTGGTTAATGAACATTGCTTGCAAGACCTTTACTACTTCGATTGAGACATAGAGTGATATGGGTATTAGATAGCCATAGAGGATAAGAGCAGTGACCAGATGGAAAGTACCTGACAACATAGGCTTTGATGGATTATACAAATTTGTGGTATCTTCTGGTTGCAAGTACCACCAGTCTGGCATCCCAAACTTTGTCTTAACAGCAAATCCTATCGAGCTGATGAGCGATATCAGAACAAGAAGGGTACAAAGGATGTATATTATTTTATCCATTTTCCTTTCAACTGCACTCCTTTTTGAGGGGGACTTGGTTGCATTCTGCATGACCTTGCTATCATGGCCAGTGAAAATTACCACTCCATACACATGAGTAGTGTTTCTGAGCTTTGAATCTCTGAGAAGAATCTGACTAGGGTCAAGAGCATAAACCCGCTGATCATACTCAAGATTACCCACAAAAGTGTAGAGGCTAGGATTTGGGTCCTCACATCTAATTGTTCCTGTGAAATCCTTGAAATCTGCATCTTCATCCAAGGGCAAGGTTACCTCCAAAGATCTCTTGACCTTCAAATTTGTCTCACCATCCAGATTCATAGTCTCCACATAGCAAATTCCATCTTCATAGCTTGATGACAACAGCAGCAAGTCCGCAGGAAAGAACTGATCTTTCTCCACTCTCACCACATCACCAACCTGAATTTTCTGCCATGGTATACAACAAAATGTGCCATCCCCTTTATGCATACTAACCTTCCGGGTATTGACTTTCATATCCTGTATAAATCTACGCCAATCTTCTAAAGCTTCCTTTGCCATACTAAGTCCAACAACAAAGGATAGAGGTGCAATCATACTTACAGCAGAAAATGGGGCAATGGGTGTGAGAGAGAGAATTGCAGCCATGAGAAAGTACAGATTGGCAACACGCCTAAACTGCTCAAAGATTGCCTTGGGAAAGAAAGTTATGACATTGTACTTTGTGGTTGATATGTAATTTGATGGGTATTTCAGAGGCTTTTTCTGGTCGAGATGGGATTGATTGCAATATACAATTCGTGAGAAACCAGGGCCTTCAAGAGAATGTGGGCCCTCTGACTCTAGAACATGTGGATGGAGGCAAGAGAAAGTGTAGAGATTGCTCCACCGGAGCTTCCTCCTTGCCCTGCCCGCCCGTGACATTGTAAGAATTTCAGCTCGAATGAAGTAAATTCAATACAGGCCCACCTAAAGAGCCAAAATTCTCAGTCATCCGGTGGAATTCTTGCAGCACCATTCTTTCCATCAACACTGAATTCCTGAATCCCAAGAGGACGATAACTTCCGGAACATGGTTTCGATGCATTGCATTTGCATCAAAGAATCATCTGAACTAAGAATGGTGTATATGAAAAATTAAAGAAAAAGATCAACAACAGATCAATAATGCAATTTAATCCACGGAAAGACCTCCAATGTGGAAGTTAATTTTATACACATGAACTAATAAATTCCAATTCAATAATTTTTTTACGAAAAAAAATATGATTTTAACTAGATTTTCAAAATAATGCGAAAGCAAAAATTACTCACGTGAAAAGCTCGAAATGAACACAAAATCCAGTAATAATAGTTTAAACGAATGCAAAAAACACGAAATGAACATACAGAAAAAGTGAAAAGCTCTCCACATTAGGCATTGCCAACATTACTTCCATATCTGAATTTTCTAGAAGGAAAGATTAACGATATAAAGTACCAAAAATCATATTAAGCTTGCAGCTAAGAAGTAAAGCCACATCTTCAATCCTATACAGAAGATTCTGATGCCAACAATGAAATCCAGTAAACCAGTAATTTTTTTTTTTTAACCCCAACATTTACGTAAACCAGTAAAATTTTAATAGAAAAGATTACAACAAAAATCCAGCAAGAAAAAAAGTGATCAGAAGCTTCGGGAAAAAAGAAAAACCCCGCAAATTGAATATTCTTCACAAAACAGAATTGACAAGAAATAGCTACAAATATGGTCGAGGTGAGAAGAAATGAAAAATGAAGAAGAAAGAAAAAATCGTTTAGAAAAGGTACCTGGAACCATGAGGAAAGGCGAGAAAGCGAAAGACCTTCTCGTCGTCCTCAAGAAAAGAAGCTTTGTTAACAAAAGATCACCATTATTCCTATTCCTACTATCAGATAACACCAAAATAAACCAACCAAAAAAAAAAATAAAAAGTATCAAATTATGAGCAAGAACTTCAACATTGGGATGAATACGACAATGAGAGAAAGAACAGAACAGGGTTCTGGCGATGTCGTCCGCTATTCGCTTTCCGTCCCAACTCCAAACCAATTCCAGCATTTTCCGCTCCATAAGTGGTTATAAAATCAGAACCTATTTTTGTATAGTGTCATCCATTTTTTCTCTTTTTATTTATAACTACTACTCTCATTTCAGAGTTCACACACGTGTATTATTATTATTTTTTTTTTAGTTTAACAATAGTTATTATAATAACTATTAATAGTTATAATAGCTATTATAATAACTATTAGAGTTTTAACTATTATAACTATTAAAATAACTATAATAATAATTATTATTATAACTATTATAGTAACTACTATAACTATTATTATAACTATTATAATAATTATTATATTTATAACTATTATAATGAACTCTAAAATGAGAGCAGTAGCCATAAATAAAAGGAGAAAAAATGGATGACATTATATAAAAATAGGTTCTGATTTTATAATCGTTGGACCAGAAAATGTTGGAATTGGGACGGAAAGCGAGTAGCTACCGACATCGCCAGAACCCTATTCTATTCTTTCTCTCATTGTCGTATTCCTCCCGATGTTGAAGTTCTTGCTCATAATCTGATATTTTTTATTTTTTTGGTTGGTTTGTTTTGGTGTTATCTGATACTAGGAATAGGAAATTAGGAATAATGGTGATCTTTTGTTAACAAAGCTTCTTCTCTTGAGGACGACGAGAAGGTCTTTTGCTTTCTCGCCTTTCCTCATGGTTCCAGGTACCATTTCTAAACGACTTTTCTTTCTTTTTCATCTTTCATTTCTTCTCACCTCGACATTGGAAAATTCAGATATGGAAGTAATGTTGGCAATGCCTAATGTGGAGAGCTTTTCACTTTTTCTGTATATTCGTTTCGTGTTTTTTGCATTCGTTGAACTATTGGCAGAAATTTTGCTTTCGCATTATTTTGAAAATCTAGTTAAAATCATGTTTTTTTTTTCGTAAAAAAAAATCATTGAATTTGGATTTATTAGATCATGCGTATAAAATTAACCTCGACATTGGAGGTCTTTCTGTGGATTAAATTGCATTATTGTTCTGTGGTTGATCTTTTTCTTTTATTTTTCATATACACTATTCTTAGTTCAGATGATTATTTGATGCAAATGCAATGCATCGGAAGTTCGAAACCATGTTCCAGAAGTTATTATTATAATAGTTATAATAACTATAATAATAAGCTATTATAACTATTATTATTAAATTATATTAATAATTATTATTATTATAATTGTAATATTAATAATTATAATTGATGGTGCGCGATCTAGCTACTCCTAGTTGGAAGGCGATCCGAATTCCAATTGGGTGGCGAGCTGGACCGTTCTTCAAAACAGTGGATCAAAGAACCTGGGGTAGCTAACCTAGCAAGGTCGCTCCGATGCTTAAGTCAGTACTTTATGCTGTAAATGCGAGCTGAATGTTTGAGATCTTGAGTGCTAGTGAGTAGAATAATCACGCATACCTTTGCCTTGAGGTTTCATGTCTTTATATACTGGAGTAGTTGTGGGCCTTACGAAAGAGCTCCGGGATCTCCGGACTGTGGATATAAGGTTTGTTTTGTTTTTACTTTTTAAAGGGGAGTAATATGTTGATAAGGTTTATCATTTACCTCCAATTCAAGCGGAACCGGGACGAGTTCTCATTGTGATCTCAGGAAATTCGGGATTTGTTGGCTCATTGTGATCTCGAGAGATTCAGGATCTATTGAGGAGGCCTTTGGAGTCGGTTATGTAGCGTTTCGGCTCATTAACTCCAAGTTTGAACTTTGATTCTTTAGTCCCGAACTGGATCGGGTGTCGAGGTGCCTCTACACCGAGGTGGCTGAATACCCGAGCTCCGAATGTTGCGAACTGGGTTCACTTGGCTGAATTATCACCCTTCGATCAGATCGCATCCACGTGTCCCATTTTGCTAGGTGATGCCAAATCACCCTTCATCAATAATAATAACTATAATATTATAGTTATAAATGTTGTATTATAACTATTATATAACTATAATAATAGTTATTATAATAATTATTATAAATACTATTATTATAACAATAATTCAAAAGAGCAAGGTCGCAGGAAACGTCACCTTTCGTCAATGGGTTTCCTCAAAGCCGATTTAATTCTCCAGATATGAGACGCAGGAAACGCAGAACGTAGTTGACGATCTCTGCATCTTGCTTAGCTCGCGACCCTGGACTTTCACAGATTTTAGGTTTAGGGTTCTTCCTTCAATCCAAAATCGAGATTTCAATGAATGTCTGTGTCGGTGGCGAGCTTTTCTTTTCTTCTTTTGTGGTTATAGAGTTCTTATGACTCGTTATCATTCTCTTTCCTTACTTTATGGGTCATTTTCTTTAGAATTAAAGAGCGCGCTTTTGCGTATTTTCGCGGTATTTTTTTTTCTCTTTTATATCTTCAACATTTTTCTCCGGATATATAGTAGTACATCGAAACATTTCGGTCTCCAGAAACGTTTTCTTGTTTTAGCCTCCCGAGTTGGAGTCTGTGAATTTTTGTGATCCGTGGACGTTGATTTTGTTGATACAAGGTTTTCGTTTGAATGATCTTCTAAATCTAGAGGCAAATTTGGCAAACATTATGGCTCCCGCTAGACTTGATGGTTCGAAGCAATACTATGCTACTAGTAGCCTTGTTGTTGGATACGCTCTTTGTTCGAGCTTGCTCGCCGTCATTAACAAGTACGCCATTACAAAGTTCCCCTTCCCCGGTCTTCTTACGGCATTGCAGTACTTAACCTCTGTTCTGGGGGTCTGGGTTCTTGGTAAATTAGGGTTTCTGTACCATGACCCATTCACATTGGAGACCGCTAAGAAATTCCTGCCTGCTGCCACTATTTTCTACCTCGCAATCTTCACCAACACAAATCTGCTTCGTCACGCCAATGTGGATACCTTCATTGTTTTCAGATCATGTACGCCCCTTTTGGTTGCCATGGCGGATACCGCGTTTAGGAAACAGCCATGCCCGTCGAAGCTCACTTTTCTTTCTTTGTTGATCATATTGGGTGGCGCGATTGGTTATGTGGCAACTGATTCAGCATTCACCCTCAGTGCTTACTCGTGGGCATTCGCTTATTTGGGGACCATCACTACAGAGATGGTTTACATTAAACACATGGTCACAAATCTTGGGTTGAACACCTGGGGTTTTGTATTGTACAACAATCTGCTGTCTTTGATGATGTCGCCCCTGTTCTGGGTTCTAACCGGAGAGTATGTTGATGTGCTCTCTTCTGTTGGATCAAATTCCGACAATTTGGTGGAACCAGGTGCAACTTTCGCAGTATCCTTGTCTTGTGTTTTCGGCTTGCTCATCAGTTTCTTCGGGTTTGCTGCCAGGAAAGCAATCTCTGCTACAGCATTTACAGTCACAGGGGTTGTTAATAAGTTTCTCACTGTTACAATCAATGTGTTGATTTGGGATAAGCATGCTAGTTCATTCGGCTTGGTTTGCTTGATTTTCACTATTGTTGGAGGAGTCCTTTATCAACAGTCTGTTACCGGGGGCTCTCCCATACAAAGTGATTCTGCATCATCTAAGTAAGCGGTTGGTGGGGATGATGACAACGATTCTAGAGATGAAAGTCAAGGAAAAGGTGGATCTGAGAAGTCAAGGAAAAGGTGGATCTGAATAGCAGGTAGTTCAAGTATTAAACATTTAAATATAATGTTATTAGTAGCTGAGCAACTATATTGTTGAAGAATATATTCACTTAAAACCAGTCATATGTTACTTTTCAATCTTCATTTTGATTTCAATTTGAAAGACCAAAAAAAAATTATAATAATAACTACTATAATAGTTATAACTATTATTATAATTATTATAGTTATTATAGTTATAAAAATTATAATAATAATTATTATTGTAATAGTTATAATAACTATTGTTATAGTTATAACTATTATAATAGTTATAATAATAACTATAATAGTTTTAAAAGTTATTATAATAGTTATTATAATAATTATAGTTATTGTTGGTATGTAGCGCTCATTCAAACTCTTAGAAAACATCAAATATCAATATTAACACTACAAGAGTACACGCAACCAACACGCAATCAATTCACACGTTGCGATGAACCCGTAGTACACCAGCATATTTGCGATGAACTCACAATACGTATCACAAAATTGCGATAAACCCATAGTTCACCGAATCCAGTCAACACTCAAACCCAAATAAACCATAGTTGAACCCATTTGAGAGCCCCAAGCCCATCTGAATGTGTAATGAAGCTATGCCCGCTAAAGCGTGCAATGAACCCACAACCAGCGAACACGCTCATGGCCCGGGTTAGGAGGGACCCAAGCCGAGTCCATGGCGAGGCCCGCGTATGCCCGAAGACACGTGGAATCCACGACAACAAAGGACGTAGTGAGTTGCCACATGGAGTCAGCAAAGCGTCGCCCGCCAAGCGGTGACATCATCGATGGCATGTAGGATTAGTTACACCGCGCAAAAAGGTAGTAGCACATTTGAGTAATGAGGAATCTTGAGGAGAAGGAAAGCTAATCCTCGAGAAGATCCTCATGAGACACGTGACGAAACTCTAGTTGCACACTCAATAATTGATAGTGAATGCCCTTATTCCCTACCTTTTAGGATTTCGGGATCTCCTCCATAAATAGAGATCCGCCTTGTGTTAGAAGACATCCGATCCCTAACATTTGGCGCCCAACACTCTCGAGTATTTTTTCTCTCTAAAACCTCGCCTTCACACCCTTGATCCCAAGAGTCCATTTTCCCTACTAACAAGGCCTCTCTTTGTCTTTCAAAGAGACCATTCCTTAATCAAACCTTACCCTATAATCTATAGTAGAATCTTTGGTTCCGTCTTTGGTCCTAGAGAATGACCTCGAGAAGGATCAACCTCACCACCATCCCTGAGGAGCAAAGCAATACTCAGGAGAACACTAATCTCGGGGTGGAAAATCAGTCTGAAATGGAAAAACCTATTCAAGTTAATATTGAGATACTATCAAACAAAGTTTACGGGTTCGAGGCACTCTTTGAGGACAGATTTAGGAGGCTAGAACAAATGCAGGAGGAGACGAGAAGCACCCTCCAAATTCTACTTAATCGTTCGGTTCCAAGCCAAACAAACCCTTGTTGCCACTCTTCCCAACGTCCCCAACTCAAATCCTAACCCTAGCTGCCACACCTCCAACCCGACCCTTACCATCCCCAAACAGTCAAACAGAGCCAACCAAGTTTCGACTCAGACAGGCCACCGACTAGCCCACCAGTCTCATGCCTTTCCCTGCACTGACCCGGTAATGGAAATCCCTCTCAATTGAGATGAACTAAGAGAATATGTCCAAGGGTTGTTGGTTGAAAGCCAGAATCGGGCATAGGATTCAGCCGTCCTACAAAAACCTTACTTCGACCGTATCCTATACAAGCCCTACCTTACCGGGTACACCCCTCCTCAACAATGGCCATAATATGATAGGCAGAGAGGCAGCCCGTAGGAGCACATCAGCAAGTTTGAGGACATCCTCGGATCCTTTGCCCTTGATGGGGATCTTAAGGTATAGGAATTTTTTAAGTCACTAACCAGTCCGGCATACACGTGGTTTGTAAGTCTCACCCTTGGGAGCATTGATTCGTGGGGTGAACTAGCTAAGAGGTTCTTGTCAAAGTGGTTCACCCTGGAAAGAAAATTGACAATGGCCGACATATGGAACGTGGAGCAAGGATCAGAAGAAGATCTTCTGGCCTATGTTATGAGGTTTTAGAAGGTTACACACTCTGTCTTCGACGAACATGCCACCGAGAAGAGCTTCATCGAACAGTGCATACAAGGCATGCGTCCCACCTTCAGGATCGGCATTGAGAACATTGAAGTCAAAACTTTCAGCCAACTTTGGAGGTGTGCGGAGAGGACAGCACGAATTGTTAAGGACACCTCTCTATACAACAGAAACGAAGCATGCGCAATTGATAGAAGGCCCAAAAATGGCGGAGGAGCTAGGCAAGGGCCATACTAGTGCGATAATGCCCAAGGAAAGAGAAGTGTACCTCCCCCCTTCCCCTGCACAAGGGAGGAGGTAATCATGACAATGAATAAGCTAGTCGGGGACAGAGTCATCAGCCTGCCGCTACCACCACCAGGAGTAGACCCAGAGAAAGACAAGCACGACGGGAGATGGTGCAACTTCCATCAAACACCACATCATGATCTGATGGATTGTTTCACTCTACGAAGGCTATTCGTACAAAAAGTAAAGTTGGACCAGTTTGTTAAAAAAGACCCAACCCATGTGGAAACCGACCCCCTTCCAGCCCATACCCAGGGAGGAAGTATCAATGTGGTCGGAGCAACAGGTCAGTATCAGTCTGATGCCTTGATAGAGAAACTAGAGCAGAATGAGGAGCTGCTACAGTTCTTCACCAAACAAGGGTCCAACACAACAACGCGGAAGCTGGCCAACAGAGCACTCACAGAAGTTTTCTGGTACCCATTACAACCCTACAGCCGTGATCGCAACAACATGGAATTTACAGCAGAGGATATGTTAGCCGCTGACCCCCACCACAACAAACTTCTTTACATCATGGCCAAAATAAGGGGGCTTTGAAATGAGAAGATCAATGGTTGACCCAGGAAGCTTTGTCAACCTCATTTCTATCCACACACTGGAGTTGATGAATGTCTGAAAGGAAGATATCAAGGGATTGCCACTGGAGGTGATAGACTTCAACGGGAACCCGTCCATCACAGAGGGGTCCATTGAACTGCAAGTCATGACTGGTCCATTCAGCACCACGCAGGAGTTCCAGGTGATCCCATGAAGGACCTCTTACCATGCCCTCCTAGGATGCCCCCTAATATACACATTGGCCCTCGTCCCCTCAACATACCACCAGTGCATTAAAGCCAAACACTGGGGACAATCAATCAAAATCCCAACCACCAGGGCCCCTTTCGACAAGTCCAAGACACACCTATAGGACGCCATCTACTTCACGAAGTTGGCAAACGATGACGAGATGAGGATAGCCAAAGTCGAAGGAACAAAATTGCCTCACCTACCAGAGAACAAGCCTGCAGCACCATTGAACGCAAAAAGAGGAGTAAATGCATCCAGATAATAGGGAACGACGGGCGGGACTACTACACTATTGTCACGAGTGAGTTCATGGGTTGTGGGTTCATCGCACGCCTTAGCGGGCATGGCTTCATCACACATTCAGCTGGGCTTGGGACCCTCGAATGGGTACAGTTGTGGTTTCTTTATGTTCACGCGCTGACTAGACTCGGTGAAACACTTTATCGCAGTTTTGCGATATATATTATGAGTTCATTGCGGGGGTGATGGTGTGTCGTGGGTTCATCGCAGCGTGGGGGTTGATTGCGAGCTGCTCGGGTGTGTTTTTGTGGTGTTAATCATGATGTTTGGGTGTTCTCTGAGGGTTTGTGTGAGCGGTATATACCTACAGTAGGAACAACAACAGCACTTCTAATAGCAGCAGTATCCTTTTGCGCCTGAACAGCCTATGTCGCAGATGGCCAACAGGTACTGCACAATAGCTAGCAAGTGCCAGCCAACGATCAGCAGGTTTCATACAACAACTAGGAGGTCCCGAGGGGTAGCCAGTGGTTAACTCTTCAGAAAAATGTCATGAATAGCGAAAATCTACCTCACCCACGGGATCGATTCACTAAACTCTTCATTAATTAATTCGCCACCAACAAGCGACACACCAAATCAACGACTTGGCTATTCAATGTTGTCCAGAAGTCAAATGAGTTGCTCAGGGAATATATCCAGAGGTTTAATATGGAACAACTACAAATCCCAGACCTGGATCCCGATGTGCATCTCATAGCAGCAAAGAAAGGCGTCAAGCATCGCAAATTGAAATGGGAACTCGAACAACATCCACTGGCCACCATGGAAAAATTCCTCAACATTGCTAATCGATTTATTATAGCAGAGGAAGTAGGGGGATCAGAATCTAACTAAGTAGGAAAGAGGAAGTAGACTGAAGATGAAGCAAGTACGAGCAAGACAAAGAGAAGGAGTAAGTCGCTAAAAGGAAGCAAGTCGCCTTAGAGCAGGCACAACAGCTCGCCATGAAGAAAAAGCAGGTCGCCTCAGAATAGGCACAATAGCTCACCATGAAAAAAAGCAAGTTGCCTCAGAGCAGGCACAACAGCTCGCCACGAAGAAAAAGTAGGTCACCTCGGAGCAGGTGCAATAGCTCGCCACGAAGAAAAAACAAGTCGCCACCTCAAGGCTCAACTCAACGGAAAGCCATTCCACCTCTGTACAACAGCTCGCCTTTGATGAGCTGAAAAGAGAATTTAGTTTGCCTCTACTGTTAACCAAACTTGAGACCGAAGACGAGCTTAAACTTCACCTCTCCGCAAGATGAGGTGGTTAGCGGAAATGAGATACCCCGACATAGAAAAGCTCACCTTCACATTAGTGCTAGCCGCCTGGAAACTAAGACCCTATTTCCAAGCCCACACCATTGTGGTATTAACTGATTGACCTCTAAAACAAGTCTTTCAAAAGCTTGAGGTCTTAGAAAGACTTACCAAATGGGCGATCGAGCTCAAATAATGTGATATCCAATTCAAACCACGCACAACAATAAAAGCACAGGTCCTGGCAGATTTCATTACCAAGTGTACTTTTAACTTGCCATCGCCCGAACAGATAGAGCTGGAAGCAGAAGTCTTGTCCAGCGTGGAACCCCCTCCTCCCGAAATAGTGAGTTGGGACGAGGAGCCCTGGATACTTCATGTAAGATAGCTCATCCAACCTGGGTAGAAGTAGAGCTGGGTTAATGCTATACGGACCTTGTGATACAAAACTATAGTATGCGCTCCAGTTCCAGTTCCGAGCTTTGAATAATGAGGCTGAATACGAGGCACTAGCGAAAGAGGTGGGAGATAGACACATAATTATCTACAGTGACTCGCAGCTCATCGTGAATCATGTAAATGGGGACTATGAAGCTCGAGAACCCTCCATGGCAGCGTACCTGGCCAAGGTGAGAGAACTCCTCTCCAATTTCGACTCTTGGTGTCTTCAACAAATTTCGAGATCATAAAATACAAAAGCTAATGCCCTTTCCAGACTTGTGAGCACAATTGACTCGACAAAAAGAATGAAATGCAACTATGCTCATAGAACGACAAGCAGCTCGCTACGTGATAATAGGCGAGCAGCTCTACAGAAGATATTTCATGTACTATAGAGCTGAGTTGGATAGATCCAACCTTTGACAAAGTGTATTGCCAAAAGAACGAAATGCAACTCAGCTCATAGAATGACAAGCAGCTCGCTACGTGATAGTATGCGAGTAGCTCTACAGGAGGTCTTTCATGTACTACAGAGCCGAGCTAGATAGACCCGATATTCAACTAACTAAAAATGACACAATGCCAAAAGAAAGAAACGCAACTCGGTAGATAGAATGACAATCAACTCGCTACGTGATATTGGGCGACCTGCTCTACAGAAGCTCCTTCACCATGCTCTACAGAAGGTCCTTTAGTTGACCTGGTGACCGGATTCCGTTGACCTACGACTTGCAACCACTGATCAGATGACCTAGGCTGATACTTATGAGCTCAACAAACTAGTTGCTCTGGGCCAATGGACCTACAACAAGCTACTCTCTTCGCTAAGCTGACCTCAACTTGAAAGTGGGGGGCAATTGGTGAGGGCAGATTTGGCCCTCCATTGACATCATGACATGTGGCATCTTAAAAACAGCTGGATGACACCCGACACCATGTAGGCGATGACCTGCCTTAGCCAAAATGATCGAGACCAACCTTCGGAGAGCTACTGGAGACCTAGCGACCTACCTTCAGAGACACATGGCATAAAAATTACTCCTCGACACCTAGTCAGCGAGCTAGCTCGGTAAAATTAGCTCAGAGCATCTCACCTAGGTCGACCTCTACCTCGGTGAGACCGAACTAGCTGACCCCGTAGGATTACGACGAGCTGTCCTAGGAGTCGGTCGAGTTGTAGGGATTTAAGGCGACTTGCGAGGAAGAGCTTGCCAACCGTCCCTAGCAGCTCGCTACCAAAGGCGTCGATAGTGCAACTGTTAGACTAGCTCATCGTGTCACAGGCCAGATTCTACGTGAACTGAACTAGCGACACGAGCGAATTGAATTAGCAACAAGAGCGAGCATGCCCAAAACGCCCTAAAAGGTCCTACTCTCTTCGCCTACTGGTTAGTGGCTTGAGAGTGGGGGGCATTTGATGAGGGGCATTTTGGTCACGCTGCTCAAATGGCGACATGTGGACACTATCAACAACGCAACGTCCGACTCGGCAAGATAGCTCGACAAACCAACACTTGGCAACCGACATCAGCTATGCAGTCGAGTTTAGGCAAGCTCGACTCGCCGCCAACGCCAGCTCGTCCGAAACCATCCCGCATGCCACACGCAACTACCGGCACGTGGACGCTATTGGCAACACATCGTCCAAATCAGTAAGACAGCTCGACAGACCAACACGTGGCAACCAACATCAGGTGTGCAGCCGAGTTGGGGCAAGCTCGGCCCGTCGACAATAACAGCTCGCCCAAAACTGTTTCGTGTGCCGCGCCCTCATGAACACCATTACCGCGACTATGGGAATAGCTCGTCGAACCGTATGCCACAAGACTCGTGGGCAACTTGTAACCGTCGCGCGAATCTAGCAACTGACAATCCAGCATGCCCCAAACTGCGGAAACAGCTCCGTAGAAGACTCAGAGACATTGCCTGATGGCACTTGAACCTCAAATAGCTATAAAAGGACCCCAGGAACACTCTAAAAGTTATGCATGCTGATACTCTCAAGCTCACTTGCATTCTCAAATATTACTCCTACACACTGACTGACTTAAGCATCCGAATGCCCTCCCTAGGTAAACACTACAAAAAAAGTGGCCTTTAGCCACGGTTTTTCCAACAACGGACAAAAAACGGTTGCTACAAAGACATATATAACAACCGAATATTTTATCCGTAGCTATATCTGGCTTTTTAATTCCAACCTAGTAACGGTTGCTGGGCCGTGGCTTATACATAAATTTATACCCCAACGGTTTTCAAATGGACCGTTGCAATATATATAAATTTGCATATGGGATTAGAAAACCGTGGCTAGATTGGAAATTTGGAATAGAAAAAAAGAGGAAAAAAAATGCCCGCTCTCTTCATTCCCGCGTTTTAGAGTACTGCTCTCATCTCTCTCTTCTTACCTTCGTTTTTCTCCTCTCATTCTCAGATCTTCATCTCTTCTTTCTGCTCATTTTCCCCTTCTTCGGTTTCTTGCTCTCTCGGTGTACAAAGCATCTCGGATTCTTGGTCTGCTTAGCTCGTTGTAGAGAAGTAAGTTCATCTCCCACTTTTTTCTTCTGCTTTTTCTAAGAGAAAGTTGCTATTTCTGTTGGTCTCTATTTCTTTACCTTTATTGAAAATATATATTTCTTTTGGTTTCTTCTGCCGTGGGTGTCAAATATGGAACAAGAGCGATTGTTCTTGCTTTCTAAGTTATAGGGGATGTCGCAGGAGTTTCTAATCAGGTATCAAGGTTGGGGTTTAGGGATATTTCTAAAGAAGGGAGGATTGTCTTTTATTGTTAAACCCTAGAGTTAGTTTGCCAGTAACAATATTGCACCATTGGGTTTTACTAGATCTCACATGAAACCGTAGGGAAAAGCAGTTGGGTTGATAGTAATCGAATTTCAAGTTGGATTAATTTAAATAATAAGGCCTCTGGGCACCGGCTGGCTCATTGATTAAAAGATTTAATCTCTAGAGAGAGATTAAGAAAAAAGAATTAGGATGGGCCCTCAGATGAGATCTGGTAGGAAGATGGAGTGCAGCGGATTGTCGCTGAAGACAGGGCCATGTTGTTCGGATCTGCTTATTTAATTCACACCAGAATGAAAGACACCAAGGCCTGCCCAGTAGACATAGCCATTCATGGGTGTCAAGTCATAAACATTAAGGTAAACAGGGGTACCACGCTACCACCTGTATTATAGCTTCCTGACTTCACTTTTGGGAACAAGCTGAAACAGGGTGATTTGCCTCGTTTATGACAAGGCATGTTGGAGTTATAGCCCTTCTTTGATCCCAATTTCATGTTTCTTTAAAATGTGATACCAGGAATTGGTAAATCCCTAGTTACAATCTGCATGCATTTAAAAGGCTGAAACCAGGAACTGAAATACTGCAATTTTTAATGTATAATATTTGCGCCTGGACCAAATATTATTTAATTTCTTCAAGTTAGATACCAAACTTGCACCCCTACCTAGGAGTTCGGATCTGCTGCTCGCAAGGCTGCATACTAATTAACTAATCATGGGTACAACACCATTTTGAAAAGGGTGGCTAATGTACTTTTAGAGTTTCAGCCAAGGGAGAGAAATCAGTCCCCAAACAAAACTAAACTCAATTCATACTGAGGAAAGTCAACAAACAGAATACCCCTGCATTAGAAAATGATCCAACAACAGGGTACAAAACACGTATACATGACATCCATACTTTTCAACTAGTACAATGTAAAA